GTGCAGAAAAATTATGAATCTTTCACTTTAAAGACTATAACGTTAATTAGATTCTGCAATCACTACCCAAGTTCTAAAATCTGAGTACCCATGCTAACATTCGGTCAAATTGTTCCCGAGATTCAAAGAAATAATTGGGTTTGTTGTAATATAAAATTTGAAACAAAACGGAATTTTGTTATGTTAGAGATTGTAGTAAGTTACAACATTCGGATCAATTCTGAAGGTTTTGGTGTTGAATTTCAAAGGTGCACGCAGCTGGAAAAATTGCACATGAAATTTTCCATCATTTAAAAAACCAAGTTGATTTAGATTGTGGTGGTGAAGAATTGGCATGAAATTTTCCTCATAAAAGAGTGCATTTTTTCTCACCACCATTTAATGTGGTGTATACTCATCATCGTTAGATGAGCTTGAATTTTGAGATTTGTTCCTATTCCCTACACACAAATCTTGAAATTTAAACTCATCTAACGGTGATAAATAGAATAATGAACATACACCACACTAAATGGTGGTAAACAAAAATACTACCCTCCGTACAACCCAAAGAAGTTGTGGAACCAAACTCCTCGTAAACTCCAGTCATAATTTAAGCGGTTTTTTATTTTATTTATTTTAATTATTGGTTTTTTTTTATTTTAATTATTGGTTTTTTAAACTGATTTTAATTGAATAAAAGTTATGATTAATTGAAATGACGTGAACAATCAAATCAGATGTCATCTAAGGTGATATATAATTGTGGTACAATTACATGGTAAAAATAATATTATTGTTTTTAAGGAGGTTAATAAATTATCTTAAAATAATGACTAAATACACATTATATTTGAAAAAATTATTAAAATTTTAATTAAATACTTGTAAATTTATTAGAAGAACTAAAATCTGTCCAATCTCAATTGAAGAAACCCCAAAAGAGATAAAACCTATAAATTCACCACACCGTCCACACGTCATCCGTCCAATGAAATCCACTGCGTAGAACAATCGCAGGGCTCAGGTAGATAGTGGCATCCCCCGAAATTCACCGGAATGTGCGAGGGCATTTCCGGCACGTGGGTCCTATAAAACGCGGTTTAACCCGCTCCGGAAGTTCTGTGGAGAGTCTCTGCTGCGTGCTCTCTCTCTTCACTCGCAATTTCTTGGGCGCTTCCTCACACTCTCACACCACACTCGCTTTATCTACCGTCTCCAATTTTTTTTTTCTAGGGTTTCAAATTTCACAAATTCGGACCCCAAATTCCGATTGGAGCTCCGAATTCGCTGTCGCCGTGATTTGATTTTGCACTGCAAAAGAAATGGACTCTGATAATTCGTGGAGCAGTCTCTTCTCGACCCCCTCGTCGAGGCGGTACCTGTCGCGATCCGGTGAGTTTACCGAACTGTTCCTGGCAGTGTTCATTGTTTGTTGTCGATTTCTTTTTATGGGTTGGTTTTTGGGGGTGTTGATTGTGGTTGGTTGGTGCAGATCTGTTTTCGCACGAAGAAACTGACGGGGACGATGATTTAAAGGCCGAGTTTTTGTGTCCTTTTTGCGCCGAGGATTTTGATGTCGTTGGGCTTTGCTGCCACATCGATGAGGAGCATCCGCTGGAGGCTAAGAACGGGGTATTTTGTTCAATTTCACTTATTTTTTTGTTTAATTTGAAGTTTTACAGTGTAATTAATTAGTTTCTAGCTTAATTCGGAAAGTGGTTGTTTTAAATGTGTGAAAATACAACTGTCGAGCTTTCCGTTCTTTTTCCCTTATAAATTTAAATGATTTCGTTTTGTTGGTAGTCTGGTTTTCGTTTTGGCTTAGAAAGCAGCAGTTGTTTGTTGTGATTGTTGCACTAGTTTTGTAATTTACAAAGAAGCTGTATGAGCCCGTAGAGAGTGAGTGAACTTCTCTGGGGAGAGAAAGGTATCATTGTCGAGTCATGCAAAAGGATGCTAGCAGTTTACTTGGTTTTCTCTTGGGGTTTGGCTCTGCTTGTGGAAGGGGTTTGTTTGTCGAGTAGGACTTCCATTTTGAGTAGGGTTGAGTTGCAAATTAGTGGGCTATATTGAGGGGTCATTTTAGTGAGTTTGTTATGACTGCTTATGTGGTTCATGTAGTATATGATGGTGACCGACAATGTTGGCTTTAATAGACCGACAATTTGGTATTCTTCATTGCTAGTTTTGTGTGTTGGGTTGAGGACTATGTCTTTATGATGGGTTTGAGCCAAGCTTGTAGTTACTTTCTTTGTTGATATGCAGATATATAATCTTTCAGGTCTAATTGGTGTTTTAATTAATAGAATGGAAGTAATGTTCCTCTTGGATTGTTTATGATCTTGCCCATTGTTATTGTTTGGGATGTTCTCTCGTTTATGGAACTAAATGTTCATTCCTTTCCATTTGGCAGGTCTGTCCAGTTTGTGCGAAAAGGGTGGGAGCAAACCTTGTTAGCCATATTACTACGCAACATGGGAGTTTGTTAAAGATATCCTTTTGTTTGGACTTCTGTGTTTGGTTTGGTTATGATTTACATGCATGCTCATTGTGCCATAAAAATTGGTCGGTTAATGCAAGGAGGATTTTTATCGTTTAGTAGTTGGTTAAAGCCATCTAAATAACGGCTTGACAGGAATCATAAAACCTTTATCCTTAAAATTTCCTCAATTTCAGCAAAAATTATGTTCGAGTATCTAAATCACTCTCGCATATCTTAATGTGTCTGGCCAGCAAGCAGACTAGTTATTAAATGTGATTGATTGTCACCATGACCTTGTTCCTTTTGTTGACACTTACTGTATTTCCATCAGTCACTCTACTCTGCTGCCATGGTATTTTTCCTGCATAAAAACTTTGATAACTCTCGCTTCCATGTTTATTTTGAGATTGTCAATATTTTTAAGTCCTAAGTAAGGGTCATGTGCTCCTTGACTATACATTACGTTCAGCGCAAGAGGAAACTTCGCAGGGGATCTGGGTCAACATTTTCTATATTAAGGAAAGAGCTGCGGGAAGGAAGTTTACAATCCCTTCTAGGAGGGTCTTCGTTCCTTTCCTCAAACACTGAAGCTGATCCTTTGTTGTCTTCTTTTATATATAACCCTCCCACGGTTGATGAGGATGTCAGTACACAGACCCATCCTTCAGTTGAACCATCTTTTGTGAAGGAGAGCACAAAGGAAGTGGTCTCAGAAAGGTATGACCATTATCACCACTTTACAACTTTTATCTTTTTCTTTTCTTTTTATGTTTTTGGTGCCTGAGTAATAAATGAGAGTCCTCTATCGTGTTTTTTGTTTCGCAATATAGAACAACAGATAAGTAGGGATAGGATTAAGGGATTGTGTTGAGGTCTGGATATACAACAGATATATCATGCGTGCTTACTTACATGTTTCCGTTGTGTGCGGTGAATTTACTATGATTTCTTCAAGGTCTAACACTGGTCTATGGTTGCAACAGAAGCGTTCAACAGCCACCGTTATCTCGCAAGGACCAAGAGGAGCAAGCGCGGAGGTGTGAGTTTGTTCAAGGATTGCTGATGTCGACTATTTTTGATGATTTATGAGTTAATAGTGTAGTGGGAGTTGTGGAAATGATAAGTTAATAGGATCAGAGCACAGACCTAAGTAATACGAGAGGGAAGAACGTGGTGCTATTTACGTAACAAGCGGTAATAGTTAGATGATCAGATCAACATCTATCTATTTATAATGTACTCAAACCTTTATGTGCATAATGAAAATATGGAATAATATATCCACTTTCTGTGTTTGCTATCTTTCTATATGTTCTTGATAACTTGCCAAAGGTTGTCAGGGAATTAATTTGCACTGATCCCAAGTTGGGGATACAAAATCAAATGGAATAGTGACATTTTAGGTTAGATATGGCATAGGGGCACTTTAGGCTCGTTTGGTGTCTAAGAATAAGATTCGAGTTGATAGCTCATAAATTAGTGTCCACGATTGGATTTGAGTGGGAAAGTTCATTGAAGGTAGTGGGGAGGGGTGAGTGATTTTTCATTTGGAAGGAGTTTGACATGAAAGAAATTTATCCTTCTGATCTTTTCATTTCAAGGATTGGAGCGAATAAGTTTTCTTAATGAGTAATTTATTTTTTATTTTCAATTGAGACATGATTTTTTTCATTTCTTCATTGAACATGTTTTGAACATAACAGATATTTCAATCAAATTCTAGACACCAAGCGACGCCTTGATGTCACAAGGGATAGTTTGCACATTTTTTCATACATAAATAAGGTTTTATAGATTTTCTACGTTGGGTGTGATGTCACAAGGGATGGTTTGCACATTTTTTTCATACATGAATAAGATTTCGTAGATTTTATGTGTTGGGTGTGAGGGGAGGGGGATGTGAGTGCAATATGCAAACAAAGTAAACAAAATTGTGAAAATCATAAACTGAGGGTTTTTTGTCAATTGATTTCTTTTGATTTGTTTAATTCTCAGAATAGAAAAAAAAAGAAAGATAAGTGCATGCAAAGCAAAAGAGAATGTAAAACGACCACTTGCTAGAAATTATTTGCTCGAAATCAAATCTTATTGACGTTCAAGTAAATTGTCAAAACGACGTCAACAACTCAGTGTCACGTGATGTTGCAATTAATTTCCTCCATTGGTTTATACAAGGATTTAACTTAAGTGGTAGTTGAGGGTTCGAAGCTTGAACTCGAAGTTTGTGGTACACAAAAGTACCATTATTCAAGAGTATATGGTAGGTTGCCATCTTTACTGTTTTGGAAGCATCAAGGCTCGGCGTTTTGCTATAAACATAAGTTTTGAGTCTATATGATTCTATCAATACCAAACCAGATATAGCAAATTTGTCTTTCAGGTTGATTAAAGCTTTCAATTTAGGATTGGCTACAAATATTTATATCCATTTAATATAATCACCATCTAGTAATTATATGTAATTCATTTGAATTATGTATATTATATACATAATCATTTGATGGCTGAACTGATGATTATATTGAACACACGTAAGTATTATAGCTAAATCCTTCAATTTTTCAATAACATAAATGTGCATGTTTCAAATTTTCAGAAGAAAAAGAATAAATGCTGCAGTAAATACAGTGGTCTGCATAACCTCAACGTAGATGCGCTGCATATGTACCCGTGCCGTGGAAGTAATACTCTCGTGAGTTGTTTTCACTAAATAACACATATTTGCATAAATTGCACACTAATATTATGCTTAAAATGGGAAGGGACAAGCTGGCTTTCCGAATCGGGCTTAGCCAAAATCACTCTTAATTCTGCTTTGATGATAATATAAGATATCAAGGGCCACGTCTGTGTAATATAAAGACAGGAGTGCGAACTGGTATCCAACCAATAACATGAAAAACCGGCCGGTGAATAGAGTTTTCGTCATCAGTCGGTTTTATCCCTTTTACACTGGGATGACAACTGCAAGCTGATTATAGATAAATTCCCTTCTCACCTCTTTGGAATGCTGTGCGACACAAAGAAATTGAAATCAGGATGATTAACTTGCAATCGCCTGAGCCAATTGTCAGCCGCTTGCAATAGAGAATCAGCCTTCGGGCATTTGTAAACTCCATTAGGATTCCAAAAGGAAACCTTGAACTTGTACGAAGCAAGCCCAAGGATTGGCAATGATAGTTTGAAATCGGCATTTTGATTGTCTCTAGATCGTGCACCACCACACTGAAGTCTATCAGCGCTTGCACCTGCTCCCGACAACATGATATATTATAACGTGATTTGCAAAACAAGCAAGTGCATGAATGTACACAAATATATAATACGTATGTACATAGAGATAGAGAGAGATGTACCCTTTGTGGGAATCGATAGGGAATGAAAGGTCAAGAAGCATGCATCTAGGCTCTGCAATGTTGGACCTGTAGGTATCCTATATATCGGATACCTTTAACAAGAACATACACAGAAACGATTTTAGATTTATGATAGCATATGCATCAATCCTGTGTTTACGAGGAGTAAAATAAAGCATACCAGGCTACAGAAAGCCAACTAGAAGGTGATAAATCACAGCTCCTGTATGTCCTCAGCTCTGGAAATTGAGATGCAAGAACTGAAATCTGTTGGAAGGTAGCGATGAGTGCATGTTACCATCAAACTCATAAATGAAAAAGGAAAACTCAATGTATTAAGTGTTCTGAGATGATGCGTGACTTGCCTTATCAACCAAAGGTTCACGACCAAATGGTTGATCATGCTCCATATATTCAAATATAAGCTCACTAGGGTTGCAAGCCTCACCACTTTCATCACTTGAGGAACCATTTAAGGGTTTATTTCTCGGTAAGGTTTTATTCCAACCATGGCCATTTACATCTGCAGCATTCTGCCAACTTAAAGCACTATAAGGAACATTGTTAAATCCTCTTTTTGTTCCATAATCACTGCTGCCGTTGCTACTTGTCTCCCGCGATGACTCTGCATCACTCTCATCACCAGGCCTCCTGTAACAACATGCACACATGTGGAAAATTATGTAACAAGAACACTTACTAGCCAACAGATTGATTTCATCTGAGTGAACATTGATTTTGTGTACCTCTATGCACAATTTAACTCACAACTACCTAAAATTGGTAATTTTTTTGGCTCCAGTACTAGTGTGTTTCACTAAAGGAAAAATACATTTAAAACTAGTTCTTAGCATGCACGGAGCCTCTGCACAATTTATCTCACAAATGATAAAGATAGGTAATTCTTTGGCTCCAGTACTAGCATGTTTCACTAAAGAAAGGAAAAATACAGTTCAAACTAGCCCTCAGCATGTAATTCCGTGCAATGTTTTGCCAATTCAAGTTGAGATTAAGCCATAAACCACCAGACGTCTCACCTAAACACCAAGTAACACCATATCCAAGTACGCTACCATGAATTATATCAAAGATCTTGTCACCCATTGTTTACAAGATGTCTCACTTCCGTCTCAACCAACAGCACTCCACTACCATATTTCGTCTTTCACAACCTATCATCACAATATATCTTTCCCACTGTCTACTACCACAGCCATTTTCTCAACATAGATTGATAAGACGACATTTCCTATCCTCGTATACTCTAAGCCATAACTATAAGTAGATAAAAATTGTAACCGAATCAACCAAGTTGTATCTGCAATAGCGGATGAGATTACTTAACCATCATACATTTATAGATCTGTCTTATTATCAGGTAACTAACGATTACAAATAAATTGATCACATCAAAATGAACAGCAGAATCTACCTCACTAAATTCAAATTTCCTCGGACAGTTTCCCCACGTAATGACATTCATGTCTAACCCATAAGTTAGAAATGAGCAGCAACATTAAATGATAATTTGAATTGATTGAAAGTGTCAATACTTTGATATATTGCTCACCTTATTCTCGTTGAGGGCTTTGATGGGTCAACATAGAGCTGAATAGCGGACAAGTAAGGAACATAGTACTGGATAACAGAGTCACTCCCATTCAACACAAGAGGAACACCCGCACCGTAAGCGCTCCACTCCTTGAAAGATTCCCATAAATCTCCAAGCACAAAGTACGGATGTAATTCTGACTCACGAGTCCTCCATCCCTCCACACTTGTCTATCCATCACCAAATGGAAACACATAAGAACCACTTCTACACAATTACAAACACAATGCACCGCAACCCAAAACAAGAAATTTTAAAGTTGAAAACTTCAATCCAAGTTTAACAGATAACAAAATATAAAATTCTCAGCGATGGCACATGCCCAAAATTTCAATCTCTGTTAAAGTTTCGAATCCAAAAGAAAATTTTAAGATTGATTTTGCAGTACCTTCGGAAAATACTGGGCCACAACCACAGGTGTGGTGTACTCCAAAAACCGATCCAAATTCGTAGCATTGCTCACCACTTCCCGACCTGAACCAGAACTGTATGAAGTCGCACAGTCGTCTGAGTCCACCGACTGCCTCTGATGCTTCTCTTCCTGTAGCTTTTGTCGCTGCTGCTGCTGCTGCCGTTGTCGTACAGCTGGCGGGTTGTAGAACCGATTATCTCCCCGAATCCGAGCAATCGAAACGCCGGACATTGGAGAAAACCGAATTCAGTAGACAGGGTGAAACTGTTTCGAGAGCAGACGGAAAGCTGAAGGGATTTTGTTTTTGGGAAACCGAAGGAAAACGAAGAGTCGAGAACAGCTTCTGCGTGTTCTTGTGGGGTTCGTTCCAGAAGAACTCTGTATATACGATGTCTGTGAAATTACTACACTGTCCTCTCCTGTTTGAAATGGACGTGCTTGTCCCGGTCCAAAGTGTAACCTCAAACGAACTGACTTGTGCGAGTCTACCCTGGGATGCGTTTGTAAGGGCAAATGGGTGGGCATGACCAGTCCAATTTATGTGGGCCTTGAACCGGCCCTTTGACAGACGATTGCTCCTTGATTTTATAAATGTATTTTAGATAAAATGATCCGTGAGATTGATATATCTTTTTACTTTCGTATCTGAGATTTGAAATCGATATAAGTAGTCATTGATTTTGTACATCGTTCAATCATTTTGGTTCTTCATAAAGTGACAAAAATACTCTCAATTTAATAAACAATGAGACACAATGATTTACTGGAGATTTTTATTGAATGATTATAACGATTGACGGTGAATAAACTCAGGGACTACTTCTATTGATTTTACATTTCAGTGACCAAAATAAAGAATTATGCCAATCTCAAAAACCACAAATTGAGCTTTAGTGATCCCAAGCTTGAGTTACTTGTAAATGAGCATCAGTTTGAGGTTTCCAACACTCTTTACACTCATGAGTGTATTTATGGTGTGAATTGCTAAGTGGTTTACAAGAAAAACGAAATGGGATTCTTTAATTGCATTAACCGGTCGCCTTATATGTTAGATGAGACTCATTTGTGTTATGATCCTTAGGTTAACGATGTAGGCCTCGCCGTGCCGTGGTCAGGTCATCTATTTGGAAACTATGATGCTTTAAAATCATCGTTTTGTTTTGTGTGAGAAATAGGAATCACTTGTGAATTGTAGATATGATGCTTCAAAATAGTCATTTCGTTTTATGTGAGAGATAGGAATCACTTCTGGAATTGTAGTCTTTGTCTTATAGCAGTTGGCTCAACTCATTTAGTTAGCCCTGGTCAATAACATTATGTTTGAACGAAGGAAATAAATTTGTAATTTAAAATTTATGTATTAACTTGCACAAATTCTCTTATTTGAATTCATAAACATAGAAATTTAGATATTTCTAAATTTCAAAAAGCTCCGCTTCCAAATGTGGCCTAACCTATGATAATACTGTTTTGCTTTTGAGAAATTCTCGAACGGAATCGATCACCACTGTTCGTTTTTGCGGGAGAGGTTTATGTAGAGCTCGAATCAATTGGGTCAGGTCTGGGTTGGGATGGTCGGGTATGGTTGGGAAGGATTGGGTCAGGTTTGGGTTATTATTTATTTATTTTATATATTATTATTGAGGGAATGTGCATCATTCATAACTATTACAATAATTTAAAAGATAAGGAGTTTCGAACTCGGAACACATGATGAAAATCCAACACTCTAACCACTTGGATATTATATAAGTTTATTATGATCTTTAGGTGATTGAAATTTGCTCGTAAAAAGATCAGTTGGTGATTAATATGAATTACATATGTAAGTTTGGGTCACATTATATAGTTATAAAATGAAGCTTTAAATTCATTACCAAGGTGCATAAAAAAAAAAAAAGCAAACATATTATCAAACCCCCGTGATTTTCTTTTTATTCATTTGTAAATGTAAGGAAATACAATATTCACTCTTCATTCAAAATCTCGAATTACAAGCCAAAATAGTATTCCAGAAGTTAAAAATAAAGAAACGAAAACCACACAATTCATTGATGCTAAAGAGGACACAAAGTTTTGATCAATAGTTCTCAACCAACTTCAAGAGGTGGGAAGCCTTCTCTTTGCCAGCCTTGAGATGCTCTTCCTTGATTTCAACATCACCTTTGGTGTGCTAGTTGCAGGTGTGCTTGATGATTAAACAGTTGCCGGCTGGAAGCCACCAACATAGTCTCATAAGAGATCTTCTCAATTGTCTCAGAGATAACATCTCCCTCAATCATACTATACTTATACACAAAATTCTCCTTGTCAATCACATCAATTCTTTTTTTCACGTAGCCGTATGTGCTACTTTCACCGAAACTGATCTTCATAACGGTTCCAGCTCAGCCATCTCCTTCAAGGATCTAAACGCTCTTCACTGCCTGTGGTGCAAGCTTGGCGGTGAGTTCATCACCATCAAGAGCAATCGCATTGAACAACCTAGGGGGGATGACGGAGGTGAACTCAGATTCGTATGTGAAAACACCCATGATTCTGCGAAGTGTTTGGAAAGTGAAAAAATTTTGATGAAAAGGAAGATGATGTAATGGAAGATTTTGAGCTGCGAAGAAGTGAGGGAGGAGCTATGTATTTTTAGAGTGAGGCTGAGGGTTGATCAAAAGGTTTATTTATGCTAGTTCCTGCTTGGTTCTATTCATTGGCGTGGGAACCATTAATTTGTGTACATGTAATTTCGGATTTTTGTCAAGGGGAAGGGAGGGGCCATCTGGATATTGAATAAAAAAATACGCCGCTTACCACAAGGTCGACGGACCTCAATTATTGTTCATAACAACTGTTTGTTCGATGAGCAATCAATGTTTGACAGAGCATTTCCACTATAAGCAACTCAATTCCCCTATGTGAACAATAACTGCTTTAGTGAACAGTAACTGCTCAAGTGCATCTGCACTTATAAACTGAATAGTTCATGCTATTGCTATTAAAATATTATTTTTATTTACGGATAATAATAAAAAATTGGTTGAAAGTATTTGAAAATATTGAAATATAGGATAAAGTGAAAGAACATTGTTATAAAATAAAAAAATAAAAAAATAAAAAAAGAAAAAGAAAAAAGAACATGGTTATGTATTTATATAATTTTTTTTTAATTTTTTTAATGAATTAATAATTTAAGTTGTGGCTGACGTCACGATGACATCAGCCTTATGTTACATAGGCTAGGCACTGGACCAGTGGATTATCGCCTTGATGGAAGAATCGGGCTCCCCTGGATCCCTGGATTGGGCTCGAGGGTTTTTGAGGGGGAATGAATGGATTAGATTGCCCACTCGCAAGGGGATTTGGTCCCGCTGGAGCTGCTCGCAGGTGGCCCACGTTGAAATGCAAGTCAAGTCCCCACTAACTAATTGAACTCCGTAAAATTTATTGGAGCTGCTCGTAGGTGGCCCGCGGGTCAGAGTGACCAACGCGGAATCACTGATCCAATCCACTCTGAGCAATCCCCAGTAGCTGAACTTCGACCTTTCAGGCCTGAGCCACCTCCACTCTGAGTATCGACTTTGATCGCGGATCGGAGATGACCCATTGCTCTGGGTTTAACGTTGGAGGTTCCGCCTGATCAACCACTCCGCCTCGGGTTAAATATTTCAAAGGAGACTCTGACCCCGCTGGTCACAGCACGTTATAGATAGCACTCTAAACAGCAACTCCGCAGCTTCGGCCTAGGCTGGTAACTTCGACCAACAAGCCTCTCCCCACAGCCGGTATAGATTTGAAATAAATTACTTATAATGAGCATGTCATTTAGAAAAATGATTCCGTATTTAGGATGTGCATGCTTAAATTGGGCCCTAATTAGATGTTAAATACCTTGGGTTTGTTAAATGGTCACCTCTTATTTGATGTGGTGCCAAAGACGAATCCTTAAGGAGGCATCTTTGATGCCTAAGAGGGTCGGCTCTCAAGACTTACAGCTGCCACCCTTCCTGAATTTCAACATGGCCACACTTACGGAGACCAACTCATCAAACCTATTGTTAAAAAGAAACATTCAAATATATTATCAAATCCATGATTTTCCTTTTATTCATTGATAAATGTAAGGAAATACAATATTCAGTCTTCAATAAAAGCTCCAATTACAAGCCAGAATAGTGTTTTAGAAGTAAAAAAAAAAGAAAAGAAAGAAAATGAAGACCACACGGACAATTCATTAATTGATACCAAAGAGGACACAAAGTTTTTTTTATCAATACTTAGAAAATCATTGTAGGGGCAGACGAATTTAGTTATAGGCATCCTGGTGCTCCAAGAGGTAGTTCTCAATCAACTTGAAGAGGTGTGAGGCCTTCTCTTTGCCAGCCTTGACATGCTCTTCCTTAATCTCAACATCACCCTTGGTATGGTAGTGGCTGGTGCTCTTGATAACGGAACCGCTGCCGGAAGCCACCAACTTAGTCTCATAAGAGATTTTTTCAATTGTCTCAGAGATTGCATCTCCCTCAATGACACTGTACTGGTACACAAAGTTGTCTTTGTCAACCCCATCGATTCTGTGCTTCACATAGCTATATGTGCTACCTTCACCGAAGTTGATCTTCTTAATTGTTCCAACTCCGCCATCTCCTTCAAGGATCTCAGTGCTCTTCACTGCCTGTGGTGCAATTTTAGGGATGAGGTTGTCAGCATCAAGAACAAAGGCATTGTACAACCTAGCAGGGGGGATGACGGAAGTGAACTCGAATTCGTACGTGAAAACACCCATGATTTTGCGAAGTGTTTGGAAAGTGAGAAAAAAAAATTGATGAAAAGGAAGATGGTGTAATGGGAGATTTTGAGTTGTGAAGAAGTGAGGGAGGAGGTATGGTATTTATAGGGAGAGGCTGAAGGTTGATCAAACGATGGGCAATTAATTTTGACCAATTGCAGCTAGCCCATCTTGAAATGTAAGTCAAGGCCACCTAACTTGAACTTCTGGAAGTGCATATTGTAATTAAGGTAGTATTCTTGTAAATGTGTAGTGTTTCTTTCTTGTGTGTCTAGCTATAGAATAAAATTCAAGGATTTGCAATCAGTTTATCTTCTTTTCACTGTCATTCCTTTTTGCAACGCATGTGACTATTTTCGAAGAGTTAATCTCGTAAGATCATTTCCTACTATTAAAAGAAATATACATTAACCACTAATTACATGCGTGTGAAAGCTTACAATGCTAAAACTACTATCATTTGAAGGTAAAAGGATTATCAAGTGGGCCTCATTGGGTAAAAAGGATTGGATTGGAATGGATAAACCATTACTTTTCAAGATATGTTAAAAGGAAAAATGAAAAATTTTGTGGCAAACATAGAGGTAGGAGATGAATTACTTAAGAAGAAAATTTACCCATTGCAATTCTTTTCCAAAATGGTATGATTAGAATGGAGAAGTTTAGTGTATCAATAGTCTCTTCTCTTCCCTTCCAAATGAAAAATCAATACCTTCAATATAACTTGAAGTTAGAGGCTATCTATTCCGTTGTAACATTTTTGGGAGAGCCTCACCAAGGACCAAGAACACAGATCCTACAGTTTTAGTAAAAATTTAGGGACATGTCATTGACACTCCAAAGATCTCATTATGCACTTCTCATAAATGTATTTTTCTTTCTAAATCCCCTCTTGGACCTTGGTTAAGTTTTGTGCCTTTGAGAATTTATGGAAGAGATCTCTCTTTGGAGTACGTCTTACTATAAAAAAAAATTCTATTGTGCAAAAAGATATTTAGACAACTTTTTAAATTAATTATTAAACCCACATCAGCATATAACAATTTTTTTTTTACAGAATTGAAGCGGAATGATCATATTGATTTGTGACACCTATTTTTAAAGATTACATTTATCGATTTTCAATTTTAGGGACCATCTTGATGGTGTAGATCAATTTCAGGGGCCATCTTGATGGTGTGAGTCAATTTCAGGAACTATTTGTGATAAAAACCTGTAAATCTTGTGGGGCCTATTTATGTGCCACATCAACACTTAATGAAATTTTTAACATAATTATAATGGAAGGACTATATTGATTTGCGACACTTATTTTCAGGGACTACATTGATTGATTTTCAACTTCAGAGATCATCTTGATGATGGAGACCATTTGTGATAAAAACCTTATTTAGAGTGATGATAAACCCACCTTCAACCTTATTTTCCCACCCACTTTTATTGGAAATTTTAGTGACATATTTAACCTTTTATAAAATGACTTTTGAAACCCTATCAAAATTAATTATTATCTAATTTTTATGGCCAAAATAACATAAATTCAACATTTTGTTTCCAATTTTTTTATTTAAAAAAAATACTGTTATATTTAATCTGGAGGAGAAGTCCCAAAAAGCAAAGAGAGATTTAAGGAGAAGGATATGAGAAGCTGTGAAAAAAAATGGCGGAATGCAATAATGGAGACGTTTTCTACATCTTTTGACGGAAACTTCATCTCTCCAATGTGCGATATTCTCCTCAACAACTCTCTGTTTTTTTTTGGTTGTGTATTCAAATTTGGAACCAACTGGGGCTGCACCGACAAACTATATGATATAAGCAATTATTTTATCTGGTTAAACACTAATAATTAGCCGTTTATCTTTTTTTTTGGGAAGTGTTATTGATACTTCAAAAATTTCATTCTACACTCCTCATAAGTGTATTTTTCTTTCCTAATATAGAAAGTTTGAAGTGTAGAATGTGATTTTTGGAATGCTAATAACAATCGATCGGCATAAGCATTGTTCAGTAGTGAGGGACAACCCACGATCGACCTGATCGCCAGCAGTGTATTTTAAATCAAATTGCACCTACGCACATGTTCCATGCACATAAACGACAGTATATACTACACTTCCCCGTGATTAATAACAAAACCATTTGAATTGAAAATTAGAAAATCTAAGAGGACGTGATGAATTTCATTGTTTCTCAGGTCGCTTTCCCTTGGTCAGCTGGTCCCCATTTATGAAAGGTACACCAAAAACGAAAACCTATATTGAAAGGTTAATGTGAGTGCTGTATGATCTAATTTCCATCTACAGATTATAATCCAATATTTTGTTACATAATGATAGGGATTTTTACCACATGCAAAAGTAAGGATAAAAATATTTAAAAAAAATACTTGCAAGAGTACAAGGTTGTCATAGTATAGCAGCTCAAGTAAGGTCGTTTTCTACGGGGATTAAATGAATAATTTATGTAAGTACCAAATCTTAATTAATTATTTGAAAACAAAGATTGGAAAAAGTTGATTTTGAATTTAAAAATAATAAAAACGAGTTTAATTAAAAAGGTTAAAGAAATTAGAAAAGTAAAGAAAACAAAGGAAAACGTTTTGAAAACCAAATTGTAAAAGCCTAGGGTTCTGCCGTCCTCTTAACAAATGCAATTTCACCAATTACTTATGAATTTCTACATACATGCTTTGAAAGTTAGGTTTTCCTAATATATATTTTCCTTGTGATATTCAAGTAAAAACGTATATCTAACATGCAATCCTTCTGTGATGGTCAGATCATATATAAACATGCAAGATTCATTAAGTTTTGTGAAAACCCTTTGAAAAACCATGCAACCCTTGAGAGCATGATGTTTGCCTTAACTGAACTTACAATTACTAATCACAAGAAGCCCACTTCAATTTCAGAGTGATGTTCCAACGGAAATTGCATCAAATTACTTGTCTAAAAACCCTAATGGTCGCGAATCACTAAGATAATTAGATAGTTTAATCATGGTGATTAATAATTCAAAGCAAGCATGCATCCATTCATAAGCAAATTAATAAAATCACATATTCATGCTAAGGCTCATGGCTTCGCCCTAGTAAACGAAAATTAGTTATGAACAACTATAAAACAAAAGGAATTTTATTGAAATAGAAAAAGGATAGAAAACACTTTGAAATACAAATCATCAAAGCCTAGCTAAGTTCTCCAAATGAATACCTCTCCACCTCTAATGGCTAAATAGCCTTATTTATACTTCTACAAAATAAAACCCTAAAAGGTCTTAAAATAAAACTAGGAAACATAATAAAATAATAAAATACAAAATAATGGGTTTCCTATTTGAACTAAAATTTGGACTTCTAAGAAAATTAGTCTTTTGACCTACCAATGTTGCAGAGCCTCCTCTATTTATAGGCAAGGCTTTTATGATAACAAGTCTATCGAGGCAGAGTTTTGATGGGACTGTGCTTGCTTGACATTTACTTGAATATTTCTTTTATCTCTTTAATTTCCTTTTTAGCCAAAACTTCATCCAGACTTGGCATCTTTGACTCCAACTAGGACTCTGAATTTGATCTCATTATGTGACCTTTTCATCTTTATCTAATCATGTAGGCATTATGACCCTGTGATAGTTCGTATTTATCCAAGACTTATTATGATCCTTGGCAATTTTAGTTTGCATAGGAATCAACCGAGCAAATATGCTCTTAATCTTAACATAATCTTACTTTCGTGAGGACTCAATCAAACCAACCCTGTCTTGGGCTAAAAAGTCCACTAGCCTAGGGATACTTACTAAGCCAAGTATCGTGGCCTTTTCAACCCAGGTTAACCCATCTCAGCCCAAATTGTTATTTTAGGCCTAAACATTGCCCTTCACTTCTGAAATCTTTGGTCATGGACACTTGGCATGAAGGTTTTTAAGCAATGAATATTCTTTAAATTACCCACTATCTTGCATTAATTGCCTCAATCCTAATTTACATGACAACTTTGCATCGACTGACACACTTCTCTTTGCTTCTACCACGTGCCAAATTCTTAGGGACGACTGTTCGAACTCAGCTACTCACGTGCCACGATTTTCTAGACAAAGCAGCTACCGAAAGGTCTTTGGCCTTTCCTTTAATATGATTGCCTTAGAAATTAAGCAGTCACTTTTAAAAATTTCGTTGGGCAACGCAAAGGCCAACCCGAGCTGTTCGATTCTTGCAATCATTACAGTGCATACCCCAAAATTCCTCCTAGATTCTCAGACAGAAACCGTAAGGCTCCTTATTGATTCATCTATAAAACCCCAGGGTTCTCTTCTTTCTCTTATCTTATCTTTGCTTACCAAGACTTTTTGCTTTTAAACTTTAAGTGTTCAACATCTTCTTCTAACAAGTTTTAGCAAAACTCGTAATTTCCCAAAATCCTACACCTTCACCATTGGTTTTGAACAACGTCTTCAATCATTCCAAAACTGGTTATTTCAATCTTGATTCATGCCTTGAATGCCATCCCAACCCTAACTAAAACACTGATGGCAACATATCTTTTTTATTCTTCATTCAAGAAGACTGTTTGGAAAAGTCATGTATGGGACCATAATTTTCTGGGCCCATGACATGTGACAAGAAGGATCAGAATGCCCATAGCCCATGAAACACAGTCCAGCAAGCTAGGCTTAGGCCTTTTGAAGATATTACTTGCCTCCCAAGTAAGGAAACCCTATTTAAGGTCAAATTAGGATATCTTGAGGATTAGGCAACATAATCAAGATTATAGGAGGGTTTAGTATCTTATCTTGGATTTCCTCCTAGACAGTCTCTCGATTTGATAAAGATTACTTTCCCAACAAAGACTCTTAAGATCCCTATAAATACTCTAGCCTGGGTATTTATCAAGGGGACATCTATCTCTTTTTGGGACTTCTCTCTAAGTCTGATATTCTCTACAATACCACAATATACATATTCTTTCTATGCCTAACAGAGATCCCTACGTCACTGTCTACCCGTATACACATCCATGAAAATGAGTGAAAGATACAATCAAATCCATCTTTAAATAATTGAAAATGAGTGAAGAATAATGGTTGA